AGGAAAAGTGCCCCTGTCTTCCTCACCTGTACAAGTGCTTATATATAAATGGGATGATATTCATCAGGAATGAGCTCTATTCTGCAGGTTGGGCACATGCTGGCACTCTGAAGGGCAAGAGAGAGGCACCAACTGCAGAAGATGTGGCCACACAGGGTCGACACAATCAGTCTGTCACTTTGCATAATCTGGAAGAAAGGAAACCACAGCATAAATTGGGAGTAAAGAATTCAAGTTTGCTGCTCTATTGCCACCAAACACATACAGCGTGGAGTATCTGCAATCTGTCAGTATCTACTAAAATATCTAGGCACCCTCAGATGTTCCAGTGCCATCTTGCAAGGGTTTCTGACCTGATGCCCACCACCAGGAAGTGACTTTTGGAGCTCCAAAGCAATGTGTGTGCTTCCAGAGAGCTGCCCATAGCATCCCACACAAGACAAATGAGTTGCACAGCTCCCCCTCTGTCCCTTTCCTCCTCCCAGGAAGCAGAAAGGATCACTACCTGTGGGTAGTGATCCATGCAAACTGGACACCTGATTGTGCCTGCTGGCCATGTCCTAGAGAGAACCAGAAAGAACATGCTGCTGTCACCACACATCAAGGGTTAAGGATGTAACATGTCAGAAACTTAAATATCCCTTGTTCTGGTTTAGCAGCATCTCAGCCCAGCAACACAGTCATCCCAAGAACTTTTACGTACTGCAAACATTTCAGGCTTATTGCAAGCCTCCATATTCCTGGTCTGACAATTTCTGTACAGAATCAAGCAGAACCCAAAAGGTTGTCAAAAACCTGTTTCTACCATATGTCAGAAATTAGACTTTAGAGAGACATTTAGTCTGTCACATACCCATCAGTGTCTGTTGTTTCCTCTTCACTGTCACTCTGAGGCAGCACTGCAGAATAATCTGCTGCTCTGCAAGCAGGTGGCTGCTGGTGGTACTGCTCCCACTGTGGCAATAGGGTAGCTGGATCATTTTTTTTATAAAGGCTTCTTGGAACAGTAAACAGAACTAGTTGTACACTGCTCAGCTACAGTTATGCTTGACACCTCAGTGACGGGCACACCTCAAACCAACATTGCAGATAAACATCTCAGATTTGGAACATCAAATACTTCCCATCCTCTCCTTTAAATTTTCTTTAAAGCACTGGCCAATATCTTGTGTATCTTGACACAGCTCCTGCTTTAAATTGTTTTAAAGTCCTTCTGTTACCTTACCCAGGAGTGGTATGTGTTGTTCTAAAGTTCTAGAGCAACAAACTCCTTAATATTACACTTTCACTCTCTGCGAGTGATGCTGATGTGTCTGAGCATGGATTTGGTGTTGACTGGGAACTCTGCCTAAAGTGGTAAATCAGTTTGTTTCAACTGACCCCCAGTGTGGTCAAGCTACTCAGTTATATGCCAGAAGACAGGCCTGGGAGCACAAGAAAAAACTCATTAGAATACAAGGTGGAGAGAGCTGTGCCATTCACTACTCACCATGGTAGACTCATGGCCAGTAGGATCCATGACTTCAGGCTCAGAAGCTATGGCTGAGAGAGCTACGGAGTCCTGAGATGATTCATCTAACACAGGGGAACGTTTATCCACTCTGGATCTACACAAGCTTTTGTCCCCAGGTATGCATCAAGATATTGCATGTGTGATAGGACAGCAATTAAAACTGAATTGCACCTCTTCATCTTCAGAAAACAGAAAAATAAAAAAAATTTTGAGGCATGGCTCCCCTGACCATGTCAGAATGTGAGTTGATGTTTTAAAGTCGGTAATATCCTAAACATAATCATTATTTTTTAAATTGTTTTTAGTTGAATATTTATGCAGGGAGGAGCTTTAATTCAGTGACAGCGTCTGTAATTTGAATTGATTGGGGCCTGATTATTCTTATGTGGACACTGAAGTTGCAGAGGTCATTGTTGCATGCAGTTTCTGGGAGTTAAAAAACAAACAGCAGTTCTAGAACTTATGGATATACCAGACCAGGCCATGAATAATCTATGTCCCTTGAACTTGGGCAACATAACTCCATTTTCATGTTACCTCAGCTCGTGAGGGAGATGATGACAATTTCTAAGGAGACACTGCTGCAAGTCTTTTTACAGTTTCCAAGGCCTGTCCTTAACAAGACTCTTTGGATACAAACTGCCTGGGAGAGGAGAGGTTTGATGTGACAGACACACAAAGAGTCCATTTCAAGTTAGGAGCCCTTCCAGACTGTTTAGACTTTCACATTTCAAGGATAGTTCCAGGGGAAAAGAAACAATCATAGATCTAACTTATCAATATTAAATAACAGGCTATGAACAAGAAACTCAGAATCTTCCACTCAGAGACCAGAGACTGTCTGAGACCTCTGATCTGAGTTACAAAGTTGACATAACATATAATATGTATCTGGCTGATCCAGCATACAAAGGTTGGACATCACCAGGAGAGGAAAATTCAAGTTCAGAGTACGTGTGCCCCATAGCCTTACAAACACTGAAGTTTGGTTGTTTCTTTTTTTTTCTTAAAAATGCAGAGGCCTAAGCTATCCTGCAGTGCCCTGGGTTATCTTTGAAGCCTTCCTTACTCTACTTATGTCCCTCTTTCAATGAGGACATCCCATGTTGCATGATGATCAAATGATGCCATTTGCACTTGAGGAAGAAAAGGCAGCCTAAGGCAGATGTACAACTCTGCACACAATATTAAAGAGTGGCTTGGGGGTATGGCAAGGAAGGAGGCTTAGTCACAGCCCATAGCTTACTGTGTATTGCAGTTACTTTTCATGCCAATCTCTGGTAGTGCTCTTGGATAAGGTAATACTTTCATTGGTATCGATGAGTCAGGTGCATTCCAGTAACTGAAATAAAAAGATTATGAATTCTGGTAAGTCTCACAAGATCCCAAGTGGATATTGATTCACTGAAGCATTGCACAGTGCAGAACATGACTAAAAGAATAAACATCATAACACTGCACTGTCTAGAGGGTCTTTATGTATTCAGCTCTTCAATGCATTTGGGTTCTATGGGGCAAGAAAACCAAAAAGAGAATTCAACTTCTCAGGGAAGAGGTACTCAAGTTGACTTCAATGGAGCCCCACCAAAGCACAGTGGACAGTAAGAAGTCAAGAGGGACATCAGAGCAGCTGTTATCTTGGTCGTGTGCCCACAGGAGGAGAGGCCATGTGCATTTCTCTCATTCCTAAGACCCAGTAAATGCCAGAACCTTTCTGTTTTGGACACATCTCCCTCAGCTCCAAGCCACAGTCTGGTTCTTCTGACTTTTAACAATTACTATTATTATTCCTTTGAGTCACATTGAGTTTTAATTGACTGATGACTCAAAAGTGTTCAGAGGGGTCAGAGGCATAACCCAAGCTCACTGGCCACTGCTTTATGTCAGACAATAAACAACACAACTAGGAAAAGAAACATCCTTGGTGCAGCACTTACCCTTCAGCTTGTGAGAGGGACCAGCCTTCTGGTGGCAGACAGGCACAACAGAACAGCAAGGTGGCAAAACTGAAACCTTAAATTTATCCAGGAAGGCATGCCCAGAGGTCTCTATAGATTTTTATTGCTCCTGCTTTGCCTAGAAGCTCATTTTAACAAAAAATAAGAGTGGACAAGCACCAGTTGTTGAAAGTGTTAGAAGTGCAAACTGCTCATGAGGGAGGGGATGAAAGGTAGCTTGCAATTGTTAATTAAAAAAAAAAAAAAAAAAAATCAAGCAAAACCACCTTCACAATTTAAAGTACCAGGGAAGCTCTGATTGACAATCATCTGAGAAATACTGAACTATATAATTTGCCCATTTGAACCATGTTCAGAACAGCATTCGGAGCATCTCTGATTTCAAGTGGTTGTAGGTACACAAACACACTACAACACAAGTTGGGGATTTTAAAAGAATTACCAAAAGAAGGAGGCCAGGACCTCAACATTCTGTTTAAAATGATGACTAAAAATAATTCTGTTACATAAGCTTCTGAATAGCAAGTATGAGCAGAAAAGTGTGTCGTGGCATTTTGTGGTTTGACAAGTTTCCAACACAAACTGCGAAGGAGGCAAAGCAGCACAATCCTGTCTGTTTTCTATATACAAGCTTGGAAAATAGCATAATAGTTTGGGCATTACACTTTGGGAATGCTGCTTTTTCACTTGTGTCCCGAAGTCAATTCTGAGAACGACCAAAGATTATTTATAGTATATTTACCTGTTTTAAATGCAAGTTCCTTAGAAAGCTACATTTGGCATGGACAGTTGAGATGCACATGTCAAGCAATCCACATGAGTTCTCTGCCTGCCCCAGAAATTATCCACATTGTAACACAGACAGACATGACTCACCCAGCATTTCCCTCTCCTGAGTGAATCTGCTCAGCCACCAGTGACTACTACCTGCAGTTTAATCTTGCCTTGTCCTGTAAAACTCATGACTGGCTCCTAGAGAAGTTGTCAGAAAAAGATTTTGGACTTCAAAGCTGCAAAGAAATCACCACTGCATTCTACTTTAAAAAGACACATCACAGACCTTTGAGTATTTCATTTTTTGCCCTTTTTGTATTTAAATATTCCTTTCACTACTGGATCTTATTTTGCACCACAAATATTTTTATGCCTAAGGTAGGTGCATTCAAACCTGCTGCCATCACAAGCAACCACAGCAGGCCAAACACTCTGTGCTACTTTTAAATATCAAAACAGCTTTACCTGTTGAGTCCTCAGCACCAACAGTAATTTTAATTTGCAGATAAAAAGCTTCCTTCTCTATAAAGAAAAGAAAAAACCTCCCAGTTTGGTTCAGGTACTAATGTTTTTATTACATAAATGAGAAACTTCAGGAAATTCACTTATTGTAAAAAACTAATCTAGAAATCCAGAATTATAAATGATAACATAAAAGGAGTTAAATAGGACTAACAAGAAAACAAGTCTGGTTTGTCAAGTCTGATGTTAACTACCAGCACTGGTAAAGGGCACTTTTTCTCCTTTTGTCTTCACTAGTCCATTTCCTCATTCAAAAGGCTTGAAAGATTCATTCTTGTTTTCTCAAGTGCCAATGTTTTTGCCCGTCTCGAAGGCCTTGAACTTGACTGTGGGGCTAACTCTGGAGTTTCAGCACAACTGAAATGTAGAATATTTAAAAGTAAGGCCAAAAAGACTAAGCAAACTCAAGAATTACTATATCAACAAACCTGACACATGGTCTTAAAGAACAAACGTAATTGTTACTAATTATAAATTTTCTATTTTGTGAGGATATATTAGTGTTTTCTAAATGATACAGCAATGTCACTAAAGATAACCAAGTTGTCATAAACAGTTGGAAAAGAAGCAAAACTGCCAAAAATTAGGTGGAATCAAAGTAGAACCACAGAATCACAGGGTTGGAGGAAACCTCTGAGATCATCAAGTCCAACCATTAACCTGTCACTGCTGTAACCCCTAAACCATATCCTCCAGTGTCAGAACCAGACACCTCTTAGACACTTCCAGGGACACAAGGAAACACTCCAAACAGACAAAGGGGAATGACTGACCCTGGTCACCCTAGAGCCAGCAGATTACTTGTGTAACAAAGAGTGAGCACAGCTGAAAATTACAAAGATAATTTTCAATGCTCTTATCCTACAAGATCAGAAGGAGAGAAATATATTGCCTATATTCACTTCTCAGACATTTCTAGAAGCTTATCAACTACATGTTGTAAAACACGCAACAAAACCATGGAGAAAAAAAAAAAGAGCTTAAATAAAAAAGAAATTGACTCCTCCAGAGAACAGATTATAAAAAAACCAAAGTGATTGGAAAAGCAGCAATAATGTAATGCAAAACCTAACTTTTGTCAGGCAGAATGTTAACCCTACATACAACAGCTATGTCAAAAAAAAAGCTAGAGGCTCTTTGACAAAACCTTTCACTGTTTCAAAAAATATAATTTTTCTCTTAAATTTTTATCTGTGGTTTAGGAAAAGAGGAAACCAGAAGTACAAGCCAGAGAAAGAAAAATATTTGAATTAAATTTCCTTGCTAGAACAGACATCATGGCTTTGATGGTGGAGAGACAAGGATTTACCTTCCTCTAGGGCATCTTGCACTTGCACCAGTTTTTCTTGTGCGCACAGACCTCCCTCCTGTTGCTGTTTTCGGCTGGCCTAGGTACAAGCAAGAGTCTCTTTTCATATCATGATACCACTTATTTTGTCAAACTAGTTAGTATCTTTCTCCAGTGTTTGACATTGCATTGACACACAGAAATATGCAGGCAGCACAGATAGAATAGGGTCACCAAACCAAACCAGTAACAAAACCTCCACAATTTACCACTTCTCCCCAAAACACCTGTACTCTCTGGTGGCTGTGACCAGGTTATCTGGAAACACTCTAGTTTTAAATCTGTGTTGAGAGAGGCTAACAGCACAAACATTTCCACAGAACAGACTAATCTTTTAACAAATATAATTGCAAACACTACAAAGTATGAATGGGGTTTGTATCTATACATTCACAAAAAGTTACTATGACATTATTTTATTCAAAGCAATTAGTATTGTAGCCTTCAGTATTATTAGTATTGTACAATTAGTACAAAAACAAATAGTATTGTACCTTTGCCAGTTTTGCTTCTCATGGATTTTGCTTTTGCAGTTTCTTTAACTTCATTAACTGGAGTATGAGGAGCATCTTTATTACTTTCTGTCAAACAGAATAGCAGATGCAGAAGTCATAAATTTAAAGTTTATTATCTTGAGTACCAGTATTTTAAATTGTGGTTGTTATATAAAATCTAAACCCACTTTTTCTTTAAACCAGAAACTAGATTTTTAAGGAAGCTTAAAATGTCACTTAGCTATAACTCTGCCCCAACATAGATCAATCACACATAAATTATTCCTGACACTATTTAGCCTTTCCACAGTGTTGGAAGTGGAGCAAGCAGGGCAGACCACCAGCTTGGCTGAACAGGGACCTGCTTACAACAGCTGCATGGCAATGTGTTTGCTTTGCTGCTGCAAGTGAACCTAAGTTTCAGCCAACTGCTTTAAAAAAAATACCAGCACAATGTGCAACTGCTGAGGCTCGTGCAGCTGCATGTGCTCTGCAGGAAGTGGAAAGTCTTCAGCTGCTTTCACTTCAAGCCCTTAAACAGCAACAGAAACAAACCTGACTCCTACAGATGAGCTTGTCAACACTACAGGTATCAGCTATACACTGATGTCAAGGCAGTGCCTGAGCCATGATGGTAACTCCAAAGTCTAAGAACCCCACAAAGCACTTCTTTCTTCCTCCAAGTCAATGAGTCACATACTAAAGATGGCAGATTAGTCGGCACTATGATTTAGTAGGCACAGGAGTGTGCCAAACAGCTACAAATTTTTTTAAAGCCCATTCTAATACTGTCTTTGTTAAAAAGAAATCGTTGCAGGGCAGAGCTTAAGACTCAGACTACAGCACTATTCATACTAGAGCAGTATGACAGAATCTGGTCAAAAAGCACTAAAAAAAATGGAAATACTTAAGTACAAATATTTTAAACTGTATGCATAGCTACTAGATATTACCTTTTTTTTAAGTAGATTAATTTAATGAAGGAAAACAAACTTATTTTCATAACATCTAAACAAGTCACTGAATTGTACACCTGCTACTGTACTACACCTTTCCTGAATTACCTTCTGCATTGTCAGCAGTATTTTCAGACATGATTTCAGTTTCCTGTGTCCTTTCAGAGGGGTCTGTTTCCTCAGTTTTTCCGGAGTGGCTTTGGCCCACATTAGGATCCTTGGTCAAGTTCATCTTTACCTTCTCAATAGCTTTTTGGCACAGTCTATCGTTCACTTTCTGCAGAACAGACATTTACTCTTAAATGCTACTTAATTTTACAACTATTTCTTTTATCCATTAAATTTACCTACTAATTGGATTAGTTAAATTTACTGCACAAAGGATACAACATGTGACATGAAAACCATCATTTGAGCTGAGAGGAGAAACAATTTCTCTCTCAACACCAGGCACTGATATGCCAGTAATTTTGTTTTTGTAAAGGAAACCTGAAAACACTAAAGCAACTGGAGCATAGCTACCTGGGGATGATATGTCCATAGTGGACCAGCATTCTTTCCAACATTTCTATGTACCATTGTGCTCACCTGACACACTCCCAAATTTTATTCTGTTTTCCATGTTAATAATAGCATGAAAGTAAAAACTCTTGTGATCCCTTCCCACTTCATCTTAAATCAAGCACCTTTTTCATGTTGCCTAATGATCTTTCAGTTATATCGTATGTTTAGGCATAAAATTTCAGCTGCTAATAATTAACTGAAGAAAAGCCATCAAAACTTTAAAATAATTGAGTTTGATTTTCATTTAATAATTTAACTACACCAGACTTATAAGAAGAACTTACTCCACTGCAATGTATCAAGTTGGGCACACTGTTTCATGCTGGTAACACTCTGTGGTTTATGTAGTGATAACAGCTCAGACTCAAAAATTAATTTTCAAAGATTGGTTAATAGAGAAATTTCAGTCACAATGTCATAGTAAACCAAAGGCACTTCATTTTTAAACATATCAGAATATTAGATTGCTGATGATTAAACAAGTAAGTTATTTATGTACTACCTCTAGAATCTCATCCAGCAACACCAGTAGATTCTCCCTGAGAGAATCACTGAGTTCCAGTGAATTTAAGGCTTTTGCATAAATACGAACTTCTGGTGCCGTTGGGTCCCTCAGGATTTCGTTGCAAATTTTCATGGCTAAACTATCATGCACTGTTGACTCCTGTGAAGGAAAGAAATCAGGTATCAGACATTTTGCTGGGAACTCTTTCCAAGAGACAGCAATGAGAATACTTTGATTTCAGTAGCCACTTGACTCATTTTGCCAACTAAGTATTTTCCTAAAATGCAGTATTTTCAGTACATACACCAATGGATTTTTCTAAACACTTTAGACAAACAGCCATGGTGCAAGTTCCTACTAGCATTTTTTAATTGTGAGAGGGAGGGGAAATCGGGGGGAGAGGGGAGTGAGAACGTCAAGATAAAAAATTTCATCACCTGAACAATCACTCTCATTTAATTCAACTACTGACACTGGGAAGCTCAGAGAGGCCCAGACAGGTAGCAGTAAGCAAAGGGTGTCAGTTCTTCATGTCTAGATACAAATTCTGTTTTGCTACATTTTAGCATACTGTACCTGATAGTCCTGAGAACTTTTAGACTGAAGTTTCAGTCCACTTGGTCTGGTCAGGTCCACCAACAGCTCAGAAACATTACTGACATCTACTTCAGACAAGGGTGATGTTGCAGGAGCATTTAACAGTGTTTGCAGAGTTGGAAAATAAGCTTCTTCAAAGCATTCCTGGTTAGACCTATTTCAATGGAGTCAAACATTAGTAGAATAATGAGACAAAATTACATTTTCTCTTCCATAATGGAAGTTCACCAACCCATTACAATTCATCAATCAAAGCAAAGTGGGAGCAGCCAACCTTGGTAGCCACAGAAAGATCAAGATATCAAAACTGCCTCACAGAACCAGGTTATTATTTAGCACATGGTATTTCGAGAGTTTTATGTAACACTTCCTGCCTCTGGAAGGTTCATCCTTACTACTGAAAATCTGATATATACAGAAATTCTCTTAGGGACAAGAGAATACATTTACACAAACATGTTTCTCTAAATCTTTTATTTAGATGAACCTTGTCCTCTCCTCCTTCTCCTAGCATTTTTCTTTGGGGGTACTTCTCATTGTGCAAGAAAGCAAGGAAGCCTGGCAAAAAAATATACAGTGGTTAACAAGATTTTTGGAAGAAATATTCCTGCTCTTTTCTCAGAAGAGTTCATAACTCCTGCCAAGCAAACCTAAAAATCATGTTGCACTTGGTTCTGCAGCAAGTTGTCTAAAATTGTAGTTCCACAAGATTTGTCAAAACACTTTGAAAGGTAAGGTGCTGAAAAGCACAAGCTGCCAGAGGGTGAAGTGAAGCCTTTTATGTTCCTGATAGTTAATAACTTCCTATTTGAACCCAAATAACTACAAGAGAATACTAAGAAAGTAAATAATTTCAAAACAGCACATTGTTTGCTGCTTCATCACTGAGCCAAATCAGCTGATCAAAAGACCTTTTGAGCACTAAAACTGGGGCAAGAAAGAACAGAAGCAAGAACTCTCCCTTTCAGCTGCTTCAAGGCTTTAGATTGGCTCAAGCATAACTGGAGTATCATTCAGATTATTTACTGTAAATTAAAACTAGAAGTCTAGTAACATAGAGTCACAAGGCAGAAGTTTCTCCTCTTAGGCTGCCAGAGTTCAATACTCTTCAGAAAACACTCCATGAGTATTAATTGTTCACTAGTTACAGGATCCTGTCCCTATTCTGCCATGCCATGCCACTACTGACACACCAGATTATTTACAGAACTCAGCATCAACATTTCTGCCTCACAGAGATCAAATATTTATATTCAAAAAGTAAGCCTCATGATGGTATCTGTGAGCAGATGGAGAGGTTAACAGAGCAGCACCCAAAAAACAAATGGAAGTTTGTAATTCAGTGAGGAATCAGTACCAAAATTAGGTATGAACCTCAGCCAAACCTCATTTATCACCAGAGATCTCCTTTTCCTGAATGGCAACTTTGCAGACAGCTCTGAATTACACATGGTAATTAATAATTCTCTTCTAAAAATACAATATTGGTAACTGAAGGCAGCAAACTACTCATCTTAAAATGGACCATTTGTGATCGAGGATGCAGATAATGTTTTGAGGCAGAAAACACGAGATTTACAATCAATGAGCCAGGCTAAGACTTACGATTTTTTTTCCTTCACTGATTTTTGCTTAAAACATACACCATGTTCTTCTTTCAAGAAAAAAATATTATCCTGAGGTGCCAGAAGTTGCCTCACTTGCAAATGACTTGGAAATACACAGAATTACTCAGCTGGGCAAACATTAGAACCCATGGAAAAAGGGAAACTCACTGTATCATTAGACAACATTCACAAGTAAAAGATTACCCATGTTAAAAGCTTAAATTCATTACTCAGTATCAGAGATAGTGGAAGCATATTAAATTAGTTCTTCTGTTGCTTATTTTCACTAGAATTTTACCAGGAAAATCCCCATCCTGGAGGATACAGGGTACTTTTTTTTTTTTTTCTTTCTGGCAACAGCAAAAATACATTTGCTAGGAAATTTCCCCCCTCTCCAAAACAACTCCCCTTTGAACTACTACTCTTAACGTGGCAATGTATAGGCCACAAAAATGTAATTCAATTTGGTTTGAAAAATAGATAAGGAAACAAATAATACACCTCAATTAAAACTTAACCATAAAAAAGGCAGATAAATACTCAGCTTGTTCTAACTTGTTAAAATCACTAGCAGCAACTGAAAAGTTAAATACTTTTTTCTTTGAGCAGGTTAAAGAAGATGAGAGCTGCTATTTAAGCTCCTATTCCCTTATATAAGTGCTCTACCTCCTTTGTCCACTACCAAAATAAACAGGAGATTTTGAATCTGCTATGAATTTAAATTGGAGTAGCCTTTGGTTCAAAACCAAAGCCCAGACCACAACTCACCAGCCTGCTGCTTTGATATCTGCTGGGCACTGATTATTTGCTTTTGAAGCACTCCTGGCTAGCTACTCTTTAGTCACACTTCAAAGACTACCTGTAGTGCTCAACAGCATAAATAAATAAAGCACATATTTTTTAAATTAATATTTTATTCACTGCCTTGGAGAACAGTTTCAATTATAGGCTTTGGAAAGAAAAAAAAAATAAGGCCACAGGGGTATAAGGGAATTAATGGAAAGTCTTCAGAATAGTCACAGGCTGAGATTATGCACTTTTGACAGCAATAGGTATAGGAGGATGAACTAGACCTTGGGGTCTAACTTGTATTTGTGCAGTTTGTACTTGTGCAAGGCCAAAACAGGTTTGTAAAGCTGTTAGATCAATGCATATAGTCAGAAAACAAATGACAAAGGCCATTACCTGTCTGCAAAAGCAAATAAAGGGAAGAAGACTCCGAGGCAGTGTCGAAGCCGAGTATCATCTTCGGTCATGGGGCTGTACCACAACAAAACCAGACGGGAGAGGAGCTTGGGACTAATCAGCCTCCCAGAGAACATCAGCTTAGCAATGCCTTCTGCAGCTTCTGTCCTAAGTTCTGAAAACTGAAGAAAGAACTTATCATACTCACGTTACACCAAGTACGGTGGTTTTTACTCATACTTCATAGTAATAGTCTACATCCTGTTTTGCCAAGCAATTTTCTACATTCACCTACTTGCACCTGCACAGAATTCAAAGATGGCTCAAGAGTAACCTTAGTCTGTATCAGTGACAAACTTGCAGCCATTTTCTAGGACAACTATTTTAACATTAATTAAAAGAGTAATTTTATAATTTAGTAATAATAATAAATAAATTAATTAAGGCCATTAATTTCAATTACACATCATATAATATTCATAGGCAGACCTACCAGGATGGTAAGCCATCTGCAAAAACCATTTCAAAACAAAACAAAGGCAAATTGTACAGCATTTCTTACCTCACTGTCTAAGAAACCACAAAGAAGCTGCAGAAAGTTGTGAGCCATGGCAGCATCCTCTTCCTCCTCTACTGTTTTGCTTCCTTCTTCACCATTGTCACTTCTGCTATCTGCATTTTCACTTGGAGAGTCACTGCCTCTTCTGGTTTTAAAAGGCTCAATCCCAAACAGCATCAGTTGATCAAAGACTGCTCTTAAAGCACTGAGCTTTGTCTTTATATTATCTACTTGCAAAACCTAGGTTTAATGAGGAAAATACAGATATCTTCCAGTAGACCAGCAATGTTAAAATTAAGTATTTTTCCTTTAATAAGATTCATTTAGGAAACTTTTATAATACTTAGGTCAAATTTCAGACTTTGGGAAGGTACAATATGAATTTAAACCTGAATTTATAATACAGTCTGTGAAATAATTTCTCATAGAATCTTAGAATCAACTGGGTTGGAAAAGACCTCAAAGACCATTGAGTCCAACCCTAAAGTGGTTACTAGACCATGGCACTAAGCATCACATCTAGTCTCATCCTGAAAACCTCCAGGGATGGTGAATCCACCACCTCCCTGGGCAGCACATTCCAATGACTTATCACACTCTCTGTAAAAAATATCTTCCTAATATCTAACCTAACCTTCCCCTGGCAGAGTTTGAGTCTGTGCCCTCTTGTCCTGCTGCTGGTTGCCTGGGAGAAGAGACCAACCCCCACGTGACTCCAGCCTCCTGTCAGAGAGTTGTAGAGGGTGATAAGGTCTCCCCTGAGCCTCCTCTTCTCCAGGCTGAACAACCCCAACCCCCTCAGCCTCTCCTCATGGCACTTGTGCCCGAGTCCCTCCACCAGCCTTGAGTCACCTATGCAATTTGCATTACAAAAAGTCATGAATTTCAGAGCAACCATATATAGACAGGATGTAATTCTACTGTTCAGCCTGTAAACAGACAGGAATCCAGGATACACTGGTTCTCAAATAATACAGCTGTGTATAACAGCTTGCTATAGTAAATAAAACTAGTCCTGTATCTAAGTCACACAGACCATCATTCCATTTCCTGTCAGACGTTTTACCTGTAACAGCAATGGAAGCCGTTGTTGGGCAAACTCTTTGTTCTGAAGGGTACAGCAACCCAAACACATAACTGCCATATTTCTCACAGCTGGCTGGACATGAGTTACACCAGGAAGTATCTGAAAACAAGATAGACATTCTGGTTGAAATACATAAATTTAAAATAAAAACCTGACTACTAAAATGTGCTTACCCTGAAACTAAAAGTCATTTAGTTTGATACAGGATTGGAAAGTGACAACTAACATATACTGTTTGTTTAGAAATAAACAGAAGCAGATTGATTATTTTGCTTGAAACCATCAGTAAAATAATGGCAAAAATCAGGAGTGTTTTGTTTTGTGTTTGGTTTCAATAAATACTTGTTTTCAAACAAAATGGAGTTGATCGCTCCATGAAATAAAAAACAGTACACAACAACAAACCTACACATTTCTTCACAAAAGACATTAGTATTCTTGCAGAGAAACAATACCCAGTTACAAGCTAAAATATGAAGATGCCACTTTGATGCACTTGGAATAGAGAAGACAGTGGTAAAAATCCACACAAGACAAAAGCCACACTAGATACAGTGTTAACACTACAGTGGCATCATTTTATATTTCTGCAGTTACTAAAGACTTCAAGTTTAAAAAACAGTAAGTACCCCAAATCATTTAGCAGATGAAAATCCAGCAGGAACATCAATACAAAAGCAGGATCTTGGAAAAGGGAATGTGGAATAAACAAGAAGTATGAAAATTAAAGAAAGACCAAATGAAAACAAAAAGGTTTCTGGGATACACAACACTAACTAGCGTTTCTAAACACTTCTGTACATCTGCAAGAAATTAGGTGTGGTTCCACTACATTTAAACCATTTTCTTTACATCTTTCCTTGTACATGGAAGGGATCAAAGACAAGTCTATACAAGTTCCAGTCTTTCCTAGATAAAAAGCTTTTGACTAGAGACAAACAAACAAAAACAAAGACAAAACAAGAAAAAACCCTTAAAAGTTCTGTTAGAGCTCTCATAACTCTGGCTGATATCAAATCCCAGTACTTAAGGGCAGTAAGCAGACATCTAAGCACCCTACTTAGCACAGTGTAACTCAGCCCTGTCCAGCACTGTCATACTTTAGTCAAATATTCACCACATTCCTGTTGTATTTTTGTATCTCTCTGCCACAACCAGTTCTGGCATAAGAGCTCAGAACAGCAGGTTCTGAGAAGACTTAAAAGCACCAGACACAGCACTACAGACACTGCAGAGTGATTGTGAAATAACCACAAATCACCTGCCAGCACCCAAGGGCCTGCTGTGATGTACCCATTCCTATTATAATGTAAACAGCATTTTATATTCCTACATACCAGGTAATGAATGAGTTCATTAATGGTTGGACTGATTCCTTTAGAAAGGGACAAGATCTTCAGAAGCTCGTAAGACATCATCAGACACTTCAACAGTGTTTCAGGATCATTCTTCAAGTTGGACAGTGAAAAGAGATAAACATTATCCATACAAATGGTGGCTGTGATAAGAATGGTGATTAATCGCCATTTGTTCCTACCTCAATAAGTATTTCCTGCCCACTACACATTCATTGTGAAAGAATATTAATCATCACCTGTCTATAAACTATTCTAAAATAGCTTCATTTTCACATTTTCAGTTAGTTGAGAACAAGAGGAAGAAGAACAAGACCCTTTTAGAATTCTGTAGTTATTCCAGGAGAAAAGAGAAGTTTAACTGTAATTCAATTTTGCTAAAGCACACTAACAGATTCTATACTTGCAGAAGGAGAATACTAATACCATAAATGTTTGTTTCCAGTTTTAAAAAAATGTAGATGATACAAGGACAACCTACATTTTCTTTTAAAACTAAAATTAAAGCATTTAAACATAACCAGCACTTAGGAATAGAGGAAGGGTAGAGACCTTCTCCACACGCATTTCTTTAATTTCAGGTTGCTCTGCTGCTTTTATCAGGTCATTTTTCGTTTGTTCCAGCTCAGCTATTGTTTCTTTTAATACTGATGCTGTATTAAAATCCTGCAGAGCAATGCAGTCTTCCAAACCTTGTTTTGCTTCATGAAGTTTTACTTTTATTTCAGCCAACTGAAATACAAAGTAAAAAGAAAATCGTTATCATAACCTTCATGGTATTGCCAACAATACATCATTGATACAAGCCAGTAACACCATACTATGTAAAACTCTAGATGGATAAGCTTGAAAAATATTTTTCTTAATAACTTAAATCTGCTTACCTTAAGCTCCTGCTTTCTTATTTCAGCAGCATCAACAGGCTTGTCAACTGCAACAATTGGCTCACGAACTTCTGATATAATTTCTGCAATCTATTGGTACAGCAGTGTATTAGTACCATTAATTTCAGCTCAGGTGTCATATACTAAGCACCTAAACTTTTCCAAATTTAAAATACTATCCTTCTGAAAAAGTACTGAACATCTGTGCAGTTTCTCCTAACAGCTGCAAATAAATCCTCAATTTGGCAATACGTGTGTGACCACGAGTCTGGTGTTTTCTCCCATTCAGGTAGGT